CTCAGAGTTTGGCCCGTTAAAAAAGGGACAGTATTAGGTTCCCCTTCAAGTATGTTTGTACATGTGTGTATGTGTGAGTGCTCAGGATATCCTCATGTCCTCTGAGCTCCTGTGTGGGAGAATGTTAATGACTCCAAGCTTGGATACATGACAGGTCTTAGTAAAAGTGCAGCTACTGTGGAGCTGAGCAGCTCATTTATTTTCTACGCTGCCTTTGTTTGGTTCATGTATTAGAGGAAATGGACACTGTGCTGTGTGAATGAGTAGCCAGCGCAGGTGTATGATAACCAGTATGTGTGTGTGGACATTTGAATGAAGGGGGGCGTGGGAGGGGTGGTTAATACATTCCCAATGATTCAGGAGTCAAAGAAATTAGAATAAATATGCCCCAAATATGACTGACAGGTGACACTGTACTGTTGGTCAGCCTTTAGTCCCCAGATAAGACAGATATTTTTGAATGATTTCTTTTGTTCTTGAAGACATTTGTTCATACTTTACTCTAAAGTTCTCAGATACATTTCTGTGTATCCGTTTGTATCGTATTTGGGTTGTTAATGGAATCAGAATCAGAGATTCTGCGACAGGTACAGTAGCTGTGGCGGGTAAACTCGGGCCGCTCTGATATCTGGTTTCAGACTTTGGGATTAAATACAGGAGCTGACCCTCCCTCTGCATTGATGGAAAATCGACTCTACTGTTACAGTTGTGCGGAGGCCGGATTACAGCTGAGGGGAGGTGGTGTTTACTGTCAAAAAAGAGAAATCACGTCTTTACTTCCACTGCTGACACTCCTTGTCGCTCCTACCCTGTCTCCCAAACACAAACTGCAGCCACCCACTGACACCTCCAGGGGGTGTTGAACTCTGACGATGCCCGGGTGGGAGTTCCCCCGTCAGCCCTGTCTTTGATGTGGCTCCCATGTCACTGGAAGCAGGAAGTGGGTATGTCTTGAGTGACAGCTCAGGCACACACCATTAATTATTTTTAAATACCACCACCATCACCACCACCCCCCCGTCCTTAGTTATGTGTTGCCCTGCGTATGCGTGTGCAGTATTTGTACTTGTACTCTGGCACCAGTTGCAGTAGCCGTGTTTGTTTTGAAGCCGTCTTGATTGTATGCGTCTTTAAACATGTGTTTGAAGGTGCCAACATGATGGTTACAGTAAGCTCCTAAAACCACACCATCCTGGGGCGATTGTCGCTGCCTGGGCTGAGAGAAGGGCGGCTGAAGTCCCACAGCTCTGTGCACCTGTCCAGGTGGACCTCAGAGTGTAATATCAGGTGTCAGCCAGGATTTGCTCAGACATTGTTTACCTCAAAGAGCATCACTTACTGTCACATGTTTTGGTTTCTTCTAATTGGTTCCCTCAGTCCAAGTCTGTAGTCCTACCCTGGCCAACAGTCATGCAGTGGGATTCCTGAACTGTGGAGATTATTTGGATTTAAATGTTGGTATTTAGTTGATTCTTTTAGTAGTTATCTTTTAAGAGGTTTCTGCTTCCTTTCTGGTTTTGCTTGGTTTTTTTTTTAGCTGAGGCGACTATTGACATGTCCTCTAAATTAAATATATATTTGCCTAAAATTGACCCACTAGGTGGCAGTAATTTTAGAATCACACCTGCTCTTGTACCCAACAATCAAGCAAGATTGATGGAGTTAGCCAGGTCAGCCTAGCCTAGATTAGCTTAGCTTGGTAAGGGCCGATTTTTTTTTTTATGTTGCCCTAACAAACGTACAAAAAGTACTAGCACACTATGAACATCGTACTAAAACAAAAAGTACTAGCACACTATGAACATGCTGCTATGCTTTTTAGCACCATCTACAGGCCTCGTTTGACCTATATGATAAAAGAATATATATATTAAATTCCTGATTAAACCTACACGTGTTACCTTTGAGCTCTGGGGACTTGTATCTGCCTCCAACAGAAATATGGAGGCAGATATTTATCCACTGGTTTTTGTGCTCACTGAAGTCGGATGTTCTTTGATGTCGTCTGCTGCTCGGGTTTGGGCTGGGGTGGGTTTGTGGAGAAGGTGGAGTAGGACAGGTTTTGGCGGCGACGGAGAATCCACAAAGCAAAAGTGGGGCCTGCTCAGCCCTCCTCTCTCATCTGCCCCATTACCATCACACACACACACACACACCTCTTGACATCTAAATAGGCCTTCAGTGCTTGGTATGCAGGATCACAGACTCTGTTTTTTTTTTCATCTCTTTGCTTTCACTTTTTGAGTACGTGCTTCACGACGAGGGTTCCACAGGAGAGTGTCGGCACCGACTGGTTGGGGGATCGCAGCTGCAGTTCAAAGTTAACACTTGGCTTTTTGAAGACACTTCCAGTTGTTGGGGTTCAGGCTGATCTGCTGTAACTGTATCTGTGCTTCGCCGTCACTTTGAAGTTAAAAAAACTCTCTGAGATGTTTTGAACCTCAGATTACATGAATTCCCAAGTATGTATCTGAAGAAGAAAGTTCAGGCAAAGGTCAGACGTGGGGTTTACGATCTTTATTTAAACTGCACGAAGACTAAAAGACGTGTGACTGAGTTGTTGTTGTCAGTGACTGTTTTCAGTCAATTTCTGAGTGTTTTTGACGCTAGGAATGACCTGCTGTCATTTTTCGGGTGTTTGTTAACATTTGTGCACACATTCTTTCAGGCACAGCTAAAGAACTCTGTTTGTTTGTTAACATTTGTGCACACACTTATAATCTTATATATCTGACAGGTCAGTTGATTCTACAGATTATTTACATTTTTAAATGATGTTTAAAAGCAGTTTTAAGGGTTAAAAAACAGAAGCTGAAGGTGGACTGTTCCTGCTGTCGTCAAAGGGAGTCATTTAAGGGTTAAAAAACAGAAACTGAAGGTGGACTGTTCCTGCTGTCGTCTGCTGCCTGTTGTTAGAACAAATTCACAACTGAATCAAATGTGTTAACATATTTAAACACAAGCCACACTCTTGGACATGTGCAGGGTCTGTCTAAAAGTCACAGCTTCTGATGATAAAACCCCATTCTGCTGCACAAAGACTTCAAATCCCACAACAATTACTCGAGTTTCCATATCAAGTTATCGTACGGCAGGTGAGTCAGCGGAGGAGCAATTGTGACGGGTTGGCTCTCCTATTGTCTCACAAGTTCCAGGAAAGGTGTGTGTGGGTGGAAATCCAGATGGATTCCCATGAAAAAAATTTTTGAAAAATGATTTTAAAAAAAAAGGAGTCTGCGTTGGATGTGCTAAATTGATAATAAAAATAAAAAGTTAGTCCAGCAATATCTTAAGGACAGTTTTCCACCTGACATCCAGTATTCAAAGTTGAAATGTTCCGCATGAACCCTGTTGTCTTTTCATCTTTAAAAGACATTTCAGGGCAGTTTTTTCCCCCCAAACTCTGTGAATTTTCATGCCTTTTCTGTGACTCTCTAACCCTTGAAGGGTCCGACAGGTTATCCTGTTACACCCACTACATTCCAGTTGGGAATTCCAGCCTGGTCTCCAGCTGGGAAGTGTCCTGGTGTCGTTGCAAACCAGATCACAGATGAACAGACAAACATCTGGGACACTTATTAATACCCAGTCCCTCAGCTGGACTTTCATTGTAAATCCAATCACGGTGAACGACGGTGTTCCCAGAATTCCCATTGTTGACACACTCCACGGCCACTCAGTTGCTGTCTTTTACTTCCTGACTGAGCCATTTGTCCTTTGACCTGTGCCATAATTTGTCCTGGACTGTTGACGTGCAGGACAAACCCAGAGCAGTCGATCCCTCAGCGTCTCCCTGGGACAGACGGTGATGGAGCCCAGTGTCCACTTTCAAAGCCTTTTCTCCTTGTGTCTCTCATTTAAAAGGTTAAATGGACTTCAGAGACCAGGGAGCGTCCGTGTGGAACCGAGTCACATTCACTTTTCCCACACAACTCTGAGGTCGTGTCGTTAAACCGTGGAAGGTTTATCTCACCTCTGAGTAAATATATACTGAAAAAAAGATTTGAATCGTTAATGTATTTAATTCCTAAAAATAGCCGTACTTTCAGTCAGGCAATATTGTTAAATTATATATATTTATATTTATATATTTATTGTTCAAACATTATATGCTGTATGTACAAATACATATATATTGTCTGAAGAAATTGAAGGATTAGCTTTCATATTTTCATATATTCTCTTGCGACCACATTATTATACTAAAGGTTTATTTTCAGATTTAATCCCTAATTTCTTTTGTACATAATTGTACAGATTATAGGTCAGTTTGAAATAGGAAAGGGTTGAAGGCAACTTTAATCTGATGCCAGTAACGTATGTGGTGAGTGCGGGACATCAGTGAAACATACGATCTGCTTCGGTGCTGGTTTAAATGTAAGAGAAGAAGAACTTCTGAAGATGAAAAAGAAAAGGAGAGACAAGCCTCATTTGTTCATCCACGTTCACAGATGAGAGGCCGGTCCTGGAGGAGCTGGCAGGTGCTTAGTGATGATGTATGACTGTCTCATCCATTACTCTGTCAGCTCTTCATACACAAACACGTATACGAGGCTGGATCAGGTGTCTGTGCAGACAATGTGAGGCCCCTGTGAGGTTTTCCTCTGTGAGGGTCTGTTGTGGACACCAGCTCCACCCTGGGAGCTGAGGAAGCCTTCACAGGAAGGTGTGTGTGTGTGTGTGAGAGAGAGAGAGATAGATGTTCTCTTTAGAGTCTGCAGGATGTTTCTTTTCAGGTGTGTGTGGGTGTGTGTCCATGTGTGTTGTAGCTGACAGAACCTCATGTAGCTCCTTTGTGCCTGAAGTGCTGCTTGTCCGTCAAATTCTATTAATAGGCAGCAGGTCAAGCAAACCCAGGAGGAGCAATAAAAAAAATACTTAATACTCAAAAACGTATTCCCAGAAAATTTCTCAGTTTAAAATTTACCAAAGGCTAAAAAAAAAAAAAAGATTTCTCCGTTGATTTCTCAGTTTAAAATTTACAAGAAACGTTGATTTCTCAGTTTAAAATTTACATTGAAACTATCAAATAGGTGAAGACCATATAAAAAAATTGAAGTGATGCTATTGGCTCTCTTGTCGTGTCCTTCACTCATCCTGTCCTTATTCTTGTCCCTCCGTGTCCGTCCATCAGACTGTCAGTCCACCATGGCCCTGCAGGTCCTCACCTCTCGCTGTCAGGGGAAGACGAGCTGCCTGGTCCGAGCCTCCACCAGAGAGTTTGGAGACCCCTGTTACTCTGGCACCAGGAAGTACCTCAGCGTCATCTACACCTGTGGTGAGTCTCTATGTACGACAGTGGCCTCAAATTCTCTGCCACTAGGGGGTGGTGTTTACCCAGTGATCAGGACAACTACAGCCTTATGGATTAATAAATACCTTAGGCAAACTAAGGGCCACATTAGCTCAACCAGGAAGGAAAAGAATATATAGACATATATAAATGTATATATATATTGCATGAACAGATTCTGGGGGTAACACAACAAATACATTTGTCCAAAAGATCAAAATTAAGGCTTGAAATACTTCTTTATCCTCAGTGAAGTTCAGAAGAAGAATCTGTCAGATTAACTTCTGTCATGACTCTGTGTCTGTGAGGATGAAGGAGAGAATGATTATCTTCTTTTTTATCTGCTTCCCACCCCTGGGACAATCCTGAACTGACAAGGTTGTAATTCATTAACCTCATACTTGGACACACACACACACACACACACAGCCTGGAGACACCAGTTTGATCTCAAAGCGCCGCCGCCTGGAGCATCTCGAACTCCACTAAATCACAGTCAGAGAAATCCTGGAGTGAACAGGACTGACATTTCACTGTGTTTCACTATTTGCGTTTATACTGTGGAATTTATGAGATTGCTGAGTGTCTACACTCATCCCAAAATCATTATGAAGTATCCTGAGGGGCCAGAGCTTGTACCAAAAACACACACCGTTGATTGATGGCTGTCCTAACGTCTCATCCCAGTCAACACAGTCTTCACTTCACACTTCTTTGCGTGCAAATGTTGCCCGTGATTGTGTCAGATTGTTGTCCGACTGTTGGTCCATCCTTTATCTGAGTCACCATCAGTCGGTGCAGAACACACACACACACAGAGACAGTTGTGTTTATGGAGTCGTTAGGCTTTAAATCTGAGTCTGACCTTCCTTATCTGACGCTGATAACAGTGTACGACTCGCAGCTCAGGAGATGAGCGGGGTCTGCATACCTGTCAGTGTTTTTTAAGGGCAGGGGCTGCGGAGAAAAAGGAAGGATGTGGACTGGTGTTAACGTTCAACAGACAGGGTTCATCATGGGGCTTGGAATCCAGTGCTGTCAGTGTTTGTCAAAGGGCAGATGAAGGGAAACGTTACAGTTTATTTAACTCACACAGACGCGGCTGTGTGGACTCAAACAGCTAAAAGTAAAACACGTGAAACAAACGGATTAGCTCGAGTAGCAAAACAGCAGCGAAGCTAAAATGTTAGGGATAAAAAATTAACGTAAAACGAGAAACACATAAAACCCTTCTCAAAATGTAACTTAAAGTTAGCAATAATTGAGCTAAGTGTTAGCCGAAAGGTAGCAACAATTTTTTAAATTTTATTTTTCAGATTACAAATAGAGTTAGAAATATTCCAGCTATTTAAAACTAGCTTTCACGCAGAGCAAAGGATAGAAAGTCTAAATATAATCCAAAAATGATTGTAAATGTTGCTAACAGTTAGCTTGGATGAAGCTTTCACGCAGAGCAAAGGATAAGTCAAAAATGATTTTAAATGTTGCTAACAGTTAGCTTGGATGCCACAAAACTACAAGTTTTAAAGTTGAGGAATCAGATCTGGGCAGAGTTGTCAGTGAGATTACTAGTATTTGTTAGGAAAAGGAGGAATGTGGAGCAGTGTTAACCTTTAACAGCTATAGGTGCCTGTGTGTGTGTGTGTGTGTGTGTGTGTGTGTGTGGTGATGGCAGCCAGTTTCCCTGCACTGTGGTCAGAGCTGAGATTTAGGATGAATGTGAATAAATCAGTGCAGTCGTTGTAGACGTGAAGTCACTGCTCGCTCCAGGCTCCAGCTCGGTGGTAATTTTGGGGGGATTCTCTTTCATTGGTGGTTGAGTGTGTGCAGTGTTGACCCCATTTGTACGGGCACCGAGAGTCGAGGATGTCTGTCTGCACATGATTGGTCGCGTTTATGTGTGTTCACGAGTGTGTGTGTGTGTGGGGTGGTCTGGATGTTTCATCTAAAAATGATGGCATGTACTTAGCCAGTGATTGATGATGAAAACCTTTAAACTTGGCTCGGAATAGACTTTTCTGGGAATGAAAATAAAAAGTTAGCACCAAATACACTTTTAAGTGTGTTCTCAAATCTTGGAGGATTTTTGGAGGAGTTTTTTTACTAATTTATTTTAAACAAATCTCCCTTTGATTCCCTTGAAAACTCCCTTTGTGTAGTGTTTCTGTTCTTCCTTAAAAGTCCTTGTTTATTGTATTTAAGCTTCAGCAACTATTCACAAAATAAACAACGACATCTCTCTTTGCCTGCAAGTAATTTCTCTGGACTGTGCATAGCATGTAGTTTAGAATTCGACCAGCAGATGGGGCCTCACAGCAGCAACAGATGTCCAGTCCTTATGTCCTCTAGATGTGAAACAAACTTTACCACTGAAACGATTAGTGTGTGTAAATTAGTATTAAGAAAGGCCAAGCTAATTATCATCTCCAAATCATATAGAAATATCTATCTAATATCTAATAACAATTTCTAATGGACCCCCTGAAAGCTCCCCCTGACCTGTCTCTGGGTCCCAGACCAGTGTTTGGGCCACTTAAAATGTTTTCAACCCTTTAACAACATTAGTGCTATTTTTATGTCGTTTACAAGCTGCCAAGAACAGAGTAATTAGGAAACAGTTTTACAGGTCGTTATGTCTGCATGGGTTCGTGTGCATGAATTAGACCCTGGTTTCACAGTGAAGACCCTGGCCCTGAGCTGCAGCGTCTTCTTCACACTGCCCCAGGGCTGGACACACAACTTAACAGACACTGTCTCCAGAGGAAGTACTTGTAGTTTGTGAATTTCTTTAAAAAAAACAACAACAACAACATTATTAAGACTTTCTGTGCAGATTTACTGAAGTTGCACTTTGTTTTGTTTATTTCAAAAAACCAAGAGGAAATGTATGTGCAGTTTAAACATGGAAATATTTATCCCCGCTGCACTCATTAAAGATTGATGAATGAGTCTGCTCAGGGCACATTCTTCCGAAAGCGAGGTTCCAGTGTGGCCCTCTTTGAAGTCTCCTTCTTGTAGTGTGTTTGCAGCGTTTGACCTTGGTCTTTTGAAGCTGCCTCTGTCTGAATCTATGTTCCACAGGAAACACACTTCAGGTGATGTATCGTCACAGAGACCGTGGTCTTTGAACACTCCACTTGCTTCGTCAGGACGATTAAATAAGTTGCAAACGAGACGGAGAAATTAAACGATTCTGTAACACAAAAACACAAAGTGGTGTTTCAGTTATAAAAATCTATTATTAGTTATTGTGAAAAATGACACAAATATCACAGTAGTATCGCTGATGTAACTTCAATAATCATCCTAGCATCAGATGCCTGTTCACCGCAGCGTTTGTTTGCTGGGGATCCTTGAAAATTGACCTTGAAAGTGCTTCAATTCAATCTGGTAAAATGTGTTCAAAACTCCTGGGTCTCATCTGCACAGTTCCAGCGCCTCAGCATGTCAGATTTGTGTCCTGCAGCCTGACATCACTCTTGCTTTTTGTCAACATCCTTCTTGTTCGGTGCCTGGCTGGTGAACAGACGCGGCCCGAGGACATCCTGCTCCTGCACCACTGTGTGTCCCTGTCTGTCTGTGAATGGAGATGAATGCAGATAAACATGATGTATGGACGTCCACTCGGACCGTGTGCTCAAAAGTCTTTTCCTTCTTGCTTTAGTCCTGGTCCCTGCAGACCAAAGACTCTTATGGAGTGGTGGGGTTGACGTCTAATGAGGAGTTTTATTTTGGGAGCAGGAAATGGATTAATTGTGGCACTTACCTAGTTAACAGAGGGTCCAGAGAAGCTGGGAGGAATAATCAGCTGAGGTATTTTCCTACTCTGGACTCAGACCACAATGTTGAAATGAGATCCATAAAGAGCCCTTTATTATCATGTACATGAATTTGGACAAATCACCACATTCTCTTCTCTGGATTTGGTTACTGGTGTAAAAAAATAAATAAAATAAAATAAGGAGAACAACAACTGATTTTCCTAACATGAAAAAAAAGATCATTCACGAGGGAAGAGTTTTCTGGAATTTTTGGTTTATGTTTATTAAACAACAAGTGTAAGGCTTTCTCCACCCCTGTGTGAGGCGCTGTTGACAACGTTTAAAGACTAGCCTTTAGCCACTGCTTCTACTCATTATTCAACTGTCGCGTAAATAAATGTTGATGAGCAGATGTGTACACCGACATATACTGTAGTTAGGAACTAGGCTACAAACAGCTACAGGTTAGCCAGAAATGTCAAAACTTGTGGGTTAGCAAAATGTAAAAGTTGCCCAAAAAACTACAAGATGGTTAAAAAAAATGTTTTAAGTTTCAAAAATATTGTGAAAACTATTTTAGTGCTTAACCAGATGTTACATCTGAAATATGTTTGCTACATCAGGTTTACATTTTCTCTCGGGTATAAAAGAGTTTCCGAGCTTAGAGCATGTCACATAATCTTTATCAACAGATGGAGGTTTTTCCTGGTCGTCCTAATAATGCAGATGTTAATATTTTATCAAGCACATTTATTCGGAGGAAACTTAGATCCGTTGTCGTCCCCCGTAGGTGAGTCATTTCCCTTCAGCAGATAAAATGTTGGATTGTGTTTGATGGAAGTGACCAGTTTGGGTTCGCTTCGGTTAAGGCTTCACTGCAGGGACTAAATTGTTGGCTTGGCAGTGGCTGCTGCTGCTGCTGCTGCTGCTGCTCTGCTCTGCTCCGTGCTACTGCTGTTTTTAATGGACACGGTCCGAGCGGTGGAGTCTGTGGCTGCATGCACACGGTCCAGGAGGGAGTTGATTTAGATGTAACAAGGGAGAAAAGGCAGGAGATAAAGATGTAATTCAGGGAGCTGAGGGTTTGGATTGTCCCAGTTGGTTATTCAGACACACACACACAGACACATAAGCGCTAATGCCGGCTTGAGGCACATGTGACCGCGGCAGGCCCCGCGCTCCTCTGAATCCCCGGTGCACATTCAAGTCATGTCAGTGGAGGAG